GGAGGAGCAGTCAATGGGCAGCCGCGAGGGGCAGCTCCGCCTCCTTCTCCTGCTGCCTCCGCCACCCAATCACATTGCCTCCTTGTCTCCTGCCTGAAGGGAGCCTGCGAGTGGTCCTGCAGGAGGCAATCCAGCAGCGGAGGCAGGAGCAGCAGGAGATGGCGGCAAAGGAGCAGCCATGCTCGGCTGCCTCTTGCTGCTTCCCATTGACTGCTGCCACTGGCAGATCGCCTCCTTCAGTGCTACTTGGAGGCTCCCTTCGGGCAGAGGACAAGGTGGCGATGTAAGCTGGAAGTGAACCCTGGCAGGAAGAGAAGGTGATTTGGCAACTGTCGCTGCTCTTTTGCCTCCACCTCTGCCTCCTTCCATGTACAAAACAACCCTCAATTTTTTCTCTAAGATTTTAGGGGAAAGTGTTGTTTTATACATGAAAAAATATGGAACTCTTGCATTTTCAAAAAGTGCTGTTTGTTAACAATGGCTATTTTCATTATTCACTACGTTCACTTAGATGAGGATTCAATGTTGAACACATTCTTGATTGCATCTGCCAAGACAAATTCACAAAGATAATTCAAAATATTCATTAATACAACTCTATTCTGATGCTTTTTTACTACAGAGATGGGAGAGTGCAAGATCTACCTATTATTAACAGCAGCCTAAGTTTTTATTTAATACATTGCTCATGCTTGTTATACTAACATTTCATACTGACACCCATTCTAAATGGAGCTAGAAGTGGTATCCTGTGTGATACAGTGGTGCCTCGCATAACGAGCGCACCGTTTAATGATGAATCCGCATAGCGATCCGTTTTTTGGGATCGCTAATGCGATCGCATTGCGATGTTTTAAGTGCCAAAACATCGCATTGCGATGATCGGTAAGCGTTTTGCTTACCGATCTTCGCATTGCAATGTTTTTTTAAACAGCTGATCGGCTGTTCCAAAATGGCCGCTGGGTGCCTAAAATGGCTGCCCGCAGTGTTTTCGCGCCCTGCCCTCGCTTACCGAGGGCGCGAGAATGGCAGCTAGATGGGGAATCTTCGCTCAACGGTGAGTTTCCCCCCGATAGGAATGCATTAAATGGAGTTTAATGCGTTCCTATGTGGTTTTCCATTTCATTTTACGATGTTTCCGGATAGCGACGATTAATCCGGAACGGATTAATCTCGCTATGCGGGGCACCACTGTATTTTAAAAACATTTCAGGTGTAAAAAGAACGACCCAAATGGAGCTAAAGTTAGTCACAACTAGAGACTATTGAAACATGTTAGACCAGTGTTGTTTAGCGTTGACCTTCCAGGCTGAGCTGCAACTCCCATAATCAATGACCATCAGCTATGTTGGCTGTGGCTTCTGAGAACTGAAGGTGCACAAATTCCGGAGGCCAAAGATTTAAAAACATTAGCTGAAATCCTGTTTCTTAAGGCATCATAAATATGCTGGGCATTCAGTCCTGGCAAAAAGGACCATATAAGATGACTATGCAATCTGCTGCACAGTTCTTGATTTGATTGATCGCCAAATGAGCCAGCAGCACCATGGAGACAAGACATTGTGAGAGTCATCCTCAAAAATCACCTCTGGTGATTGGATGGGCAGCTATGGGGTGACAGCAGATATCATGAGTATAATGCCAAGTTACATGCTCAACAGGATTTCAGCCTCTGAGACATACTAAACTTAAGTCCTGTTCCTATCATAGCACAGAAATAATGCTATTTCGTTCAATGAAGCTTACTTCAGAGCTAAATGTGCATAACAATGAAGTCATGATGACTGTGGCGTTTACCCCGTGGCCCCTGCTTGTTTCACCAAACAAAGAGCTCACCTGAGTATCCTAACACATGCTTTAACAGGCTGCCACCAATTGCTCTCTTTATCAACCTATATTTCCTATGAAAGACTAAGGTCAATTTAGTACTGAACTTTTAAACAGAAACATGTTTATTGATTACAAGTTGTTTTAGAAATAATTCTTAAGCACATTCTTAAAGTTACACAAAGCTTCTGTATTTTACTTTAACCTCTTCTATCTTAATTAATACAGGTCACACTCCGACTAACCACTCCTAAGTACATGCACATATAACAACTTACTAATACTTATACATATCCTATAATACAATCTTTATTTCTGTTACTATGTTCACCAAATCAAAATTACTACTATAAACATCCAAGACAATTAATGACTCATTTGACATGGATCAAATGAATTTCTTATTGAGCCAATAAATGCTTTGTTTTGTCTCTGATGGAACACAAACCTGATATTTAGGAAAATAGGTTCAAAGACATTATAGATGTCAATAAATTTGCACTTGGAAATCATTAGTTAATTCTGAGATTACCAGGAATGTTCAATAGACATGTAATCATCCTGCAGTTGAACTCAGTCAGTTCTGAGTTAGAGGTGATGTGACATTCCAGTTGTCAAAGTTACTCCTGTTCAATAAGCTTTTTAAAGTGTTCCCTACTTCTTGAATTATTAAAATAAGACAAAATACACCCTCCCCACTTCATCCTCTTCTCCTAATGAAATAATGTATTTTTATTTCTTAAAACACTTTACAATGGCTAAAAGGATTTTATTCATCTCCGTTTCCAATCCATAGAGCTAGCGTTTTGTACACAGACAATCCTCTGTGGTCATAAAACAGCTACCCTGTTTTCCCGAAAATAAGACAGGGTGTTATATTAATTTTTGCTCCAAAAACGCATTAGGGGTTATTTTCAGGGGATATTTCATTTTTTTCATGTACAACTTAAGGAAAGGATAACAGCTTTACTACATTACCCTTGGTGTCCCTCAGTGAGTTTTTTAAATCATGAAAGCTTTCACTGAATGTTTGATTTTAGTGGTCTACTAAAAGTGTTGCCTGATTTTTTTACAGTATATAAACATACTGATGATCACTTTTGTAGAACTTTTGGTATTTCAAAGTGCTGTGAGTGTTGTTTCAGATACAGCACCACAAGATTCGCTAATATCTCTGCTGCATATGAGACAGTATGGAATACTGGCTTTCCATCAAATAGTTAGCTGAGGTAAAATTTGAATAAAGGACTACTGTACATAGTTGATGGACTTTGTCCTTGCATTGCACTAGCTATATACATCTTTCTGGTTTTAATTTTGTTGGAATAAGTAAATTTGAGGACCTTTAAAAATGTAGCAACTGAAAGGTAATACGCATGAATAATTATATCATTCTTTCAAGTGACTTAATTTATATGTCTTTTTCCTTTTTATGAGGCAAAGTCTTAATAAAGAACCACTTAACTGAAATGAAAATGCACTTTTTAAAGCAATAGGTGGCAGCAAGTCTCCAGTGTTCTGGTGACATTTCAGACTGAGACAACAATATAAGCCACAGTCAAAATCTTTTACAAGTTTAGAGAACAATTAAGAGAAAATATAGTTTAGCCTAAGTCTTTGTTTCTGGAACACACAGATGTAGAAGTCCAGATTGAAAAATGTATATGTAAGGTTTAGTTTCTACACACATTTTCAGTTCTTTCCCCTTTGAGATGAAGTAGTTAAACTATGACAACTGTTTTAGAACCACCAAATAATTGAGTTGGAAGGGGCCTATAAGGCCATTGAGCCCAAGATCAAGGATGGTCAATTGGTGAACCTCTCTATTCAAGTTTAATCCCTGAGGCAATTTCATTTGGACCCTAGTGAACATAATTGTTTTAATCAATCAAAGAATAACAAGAAGTTATTTATTCCTTTAAGAAAAAGGCTATTGGTTTCAAAACCTGGAAGGAGAGTTTCAACATGTTATTATGCCCTTTTCTCTGTTTTCCCAACAATTCTATGTACACCTGTGTAGTCTGGACTACACATGCTTCGTAGCTATCAAGTCTTTAGTCCTAGCAGTCCTGATCACTGTAAAGCAAAAATGAGGATCTTCTACTTCCAAATATTGTAGGAGATCCAGTAAGCCCAGGCAGCATAGTTAATACTTAGAAGGACAATGGGAGTTTATTTATTTTATTTATTTGTTCGATTTATATCCTGTACATCTGGTATATTCTACCACTCTGGGTGGCTTACAGAATATCAAAACAATTAAAAAACATAAAGACATTAGCATACAACAATAATTTTAATTTTTTAAAAAATTTAAATAAATTAATTTAAATAATTTAAAAATGTTATGGTTTCACAACAGATGAAGGGCCATGAGTACCTGGTTCCTGTTTACAATGCTAAGCACATATGAAGAAATTGGATATTGAGGCAAAATGTCCTGTTTCATAAATGCTGTTTGAATAACAAACGAGCCCTCGAGAATAGAAAAGACAGTCTTCTTTGATACAGATGTAAATCTAAGGCCACTGCTTCAGCTTCTTTTTCCAGATAAAAGCCTCACTCAGAAGTCCATGGAAACTTTCGGAAAATACACAAATAGTTGTCTTGAAAAAAAAAAGACAGGTAACTGGATCTGAAGATTACATGGCTTTCCCAGAGACAGATGTATTTGTAGGGAATTGAACTCTCAATCCATGGCTCTGTTAGATGCCTAATTCACTGAGCTATCCAACCAGGCAATATACAAAATAAAATAATCTCGCCTAGAGTCAGACACGATTGGACAAATTGTCATGGGAAACAGCAGATAGAAAGGGACTGTCACACGCAGGTTGGGCTCTCACTCAACAGCCACAATCCTATTGGGTGCTTATGTACATGTGGAAGGTACTGTGGCTAATAGGGATGGGACTTTTGGAGTCTGAGGACTTCTAGTCCCATAATTTGTCCAGGCCCCTTCCCCCCGCCTGAATTATGAGAGTAAAAGCCCCAAAACCAGAGGGAGTGTGAGCAGTCTTCTCTATCTTTCTACCACTCTGCCTTGTTTCTTCTTGGAACTGTAATATACAGTAGGATCCCGGCCACTGCTCGGAGTCTATCGCTCTTCTGGCTATTGTATATTCTCAGAGGAAAAAACTGTGTTAAGTTTGAAACAGAACACAAAATACCTGTTATAGAAATGAATATGCTTTATTATTGTTGGCAAATGTATAATCCATTTTTAATTAAATAAAAAAGGACCTTAGAAGTCTCACTGCAGAATAACACCACCCTAACACATATAGAAACAATGTGCTCCTAAAGTATGCCAACATGCTCAGACAGCTTTAACAGTTGACATACAGTAGCTGCATAAGCCATCCAAGTATATTCCAAAAGTACTGTGATTAGATTTAACTCTTCACTTACCATCTTATTTTACTATCTAAAGTACAGCAATGATCTTATACTGCATATTAAAAATACAATGAAGCCTAACTTTTATTGCAATGTGTTTTATCAAAAACATTTTGTAACAAGCAATTCCTCCATGCTACTTGCTCAGTCCAATGTGAACCAAGATGGACGTTTCCGGTTTCTTTCTATGATCCGCTTCCCTTCATCTTTAAGTCTGGGTTTCTCCCCTTCATACAGTACAACAGACTCAACTGTGGGACTCCTATGAGGTCCTCCTTCCATTATCGTAATTTCCTTCCTTATGGCAGCAGTCTCCTGTTTAACTTTTTCATAACAATAGCCGCAAAGAATATGCTTCTGTTTTAAGCTGCCACACTGAGGACAGACATCTATGTTTCCCTGAAGATAAATAAGAACACAGTTTTAAAATGCAGAAGTGTAATACCACCTCATTTTAAACTGAAATGAAACACAGAAGCCATGGATGCATTTTGTACTATGAACTTTTTCATCACTGCTCAGTGATGAGCAAGAGAATTGCCAAAATCCTACTGAGCAACTACACACAAACCCCCTCAATGTTCCACCTACTACAGTGTATGAGTGCTAACACAGAAGTACAATTCCTGAAGCATTTCTGCTGGTGCACTGCACAACTGGTCATGCTGAGTAAGCACAACCAATTGTACAACTGAATAGCACAGTTCCTTGATGCCAGGTGTAAAACCGTATACTCCCCATTTAATTTAATTATTTTATTTATTTCCAGAAAATGTACCCAGTTCTGCTTGGAATCAAATCCCATGAATCCCACCCTCATCCTACTTTTCATCTCATAAAGTCTTTTTTTTAAATTGTCTCTTCCCCTCTCTACTCTGGTAGCACTTAGATTAGGGTTAGAAGCCTATCCTAGTGTTCTCCCTTCTTTCTCCACTGTTATTTTTACACTGCTCTTCCCCCACCCTTCACTCCAGAAATCAGGAATATCTACAATTCCCAAAATCCCCAGCCTGCCTAGCTAGGTGAGATATATCACTATGATTTATCTAAAATTTTGTTCCAAAGTGTTGCCATTTTAGCAAGAGGACTATAACTTCTAGGATACAATAGCCCAGCTGTTCTTAGACTTTTCTTCACCATATTTACCTTCTTCAAATATCTTTTGTTACTGTGCACCACCAAGACCTAACTCAAGATTTGAAAACCTAAAGTGCATCAAATATTTATTTAATGCTCAGGAAGGGTTTTCAAATTTAGAGAGAAGGGAGAAATAAGTTAATCTGTTAATGCACACACTTCTATTATAATATTTTATTGGAGTGATTCCATACTATCATCATCATCATGAATAATAACAAAAAAGCAAAAGAATAATTTAAGCAAAAGAAATTAGGCCCATGTAAAGGTGATAATCTAAAATTTTGAAAAGAAATGTGCGAAAGCCCAACCAGACATAATAAAGATGCCTCATGGATTAAAGATATTTGTAAAGAAACTCAAGGAAAACAAATGGATGATATTGTAATAACAACTGAAATGATTAAGAGGCAAGTAAAGGCTGTGCAAATTTGGAGTGCAGCTGGTCCAAATGAGCTACATGGATTTTAGTTAAAGCATTTAACAAGTCCCCATCAATGTATAGCAGTGCAATTTAATCACCTACTCGAAAATTCTACAACTGAACATTGGATGACAATGGGCTGTATATTTCTGATAATTAAAAAATCATCAAAAGAGAAATGTACCCAGTAATTATTGCCCAATTACATGCCTTCCAACAATGTTCAATCTCCTCATAGGAGCACTTCAAGATCAACATATTACTTAACTGAAAACTCCCTATACACAACTGAACAGAAAGAAAACTTTAAAAACTCAGGAGCCACAAAAGATAAACTGGTTATTTGATAAAATTATACTGAAGAATGCAAAAAACGAAAAGCAAACCTTAACATGGTCTGGATAGACTATAAAAAGGCATTTGACTCATTGCCACATAGCTGGATTAACACCTGCTTTAATAGATTGGAATCAAAATGAATTAGGAGAATTGGATTAGAAAACATGGAAGCTAATGAACATCCATCATGCACTACATCCAAAAAGTGCTGTGGACAGATTATAGTTACCATGAAAGATTGGAGACCACAGATTACTACAAATACAGAAGGTAGTACTGGAAAAAGCCTAAATTATTATATAAGTACAGAAAAATTACTTAAGGCTGTGAAAATGGAGAATATTTCGAAAGCAACAGAAGCAAAGGTTCAATATAAAAACCACAGCAATTTGGAAATAAATTAAACAGTTGCAAAAATAAACCACTGCATACCCAGCACCTGAGAAATATTGATGGGAAGCATGATTATAATTCAACATGGGCTAAAACTGGGACCATTAAGATAGAAAACGAAGGTTTATATTTTTTTCATGCATAAGAACAAGCACACCAAAATCAATGTGATGAAAGCTAAAATTCAATGAATCAGTGCTAACAGCAAATGCTGATATTGCTAAAAAAAGAAAGAAAAACTGTCACACCTCATCTGTGAATGTCCCAAGATTGCAAAAACAGATTACAAAATTAGACGTGATAGAGCGGCAAAATTAGTACACTGGTCATTACACAAAAATGTAACCTGTTAGCCTCCAAAAACCCAGGTAGAAAAGTTGTCAGAAAATGATGAAGTCACTCACTAGACATAGTAGTAAAAGAACTAAGATCACTGGCATTGCTTGTTTGTGTTAAACTTGGCTTTTTTAACCTACCACCTCCATTAAAAACAAATAAAAGTAAAAATCAATTATGAAAATAACTGATAGCAAATAACTATTTGATATTTCTACACATGGTGAAAACATACAAATGAATGGTTGACCAGTGACAAATTTGGCTTAGATTAAAATCAACTGAACCACTCTTACAAAAATGTGCATGGATATTTATTACAGTTGTCTTACAATGTTGCTGTTAATGTTTACAGAACTGCAGACATCTCGGGATCATACAGTAGCAAAGAAATTCAGGACAAATAGGTCAAGAAAGCGAACAGAAATGTGATAAGTTACCTTTAACTTTTCAAGTTTGTTAGGATTTCTTCGTCTGCATCGATTCACTTCAATGGTCCGCCTTGACTTTGGGGCAGCCATCCAAAATATGCCATCTAAAAAGCTTGGAGCTTCATCACTTTCAGTCTTCTCTGCCATAGGCTCAAGCAAAGAAACTGGAGCTTCTACAGCCAAAGCGGGTGCTTAAAGGAGACATGAAACAATAGTATTGTGACTAATATAATATTAACAGTTTATTTACTTTTATTAAACAGAGTACTAAGCAAAAGTCCCTCTCAGTGTGAGCCTTCTTCTGTTTATGGGAGGTAGAAGGTGAGGTTGCATTATGAAAAATAATATCTGGGATTAACTATACACAGCTCAGTTTTTTATATATGTACTGAGAAGCATTCACTTCTGCCAACAGGTGATTATCTTTCTCTTCAGGCGCCTTTACCTCAGTGACTGGCTATCCCAGAGGGCTTTTAAAAATGGGATTGTTAGCGCTTTGCTGCTTTTAAACGTGTTGCTTTCAAATATGCTTTAGCACCCTTTTAATTTACATTTTATTATATTTAATTCTTTTAAGCACAGTATAAAGGGATTGTTTTAAGCTTTCAATATTTTTTCTTTTGAATGAAGTAAGCTGCCTCGGGTCCTTTTTAAAAGAAAGGCGGGATATAAATACTGTATTGGGATATACAGTAGTGTACTTCCATTCCACTGCTGCTGCTGCCATTTGCAGTTAGGCAGCCCACAAAATACGCATGACGGGCGGAGGCCGGCGGCTTCCGGAGCCCTTCAATAAAGTTACAGGCCACTTGAGACGAGACACTGAACGTCTCTCTTCGATCCCAAAGCCTCTGGCAGAGCTTCCCCCCCCACCTCGCAGTTTTCGTTCAACGCCAGGCTCTCAGCGATGCAAAGAGGCTGCTTCGCCGGAGCGGACCAGGGAGGCATGCCAGTGAATTACGTCGGCCTTCACGCGGACAGGTTCGGGTGGTTGGCTCCGTTTTCAAATCCTTCCTTGAGCAGAGCGGCACTGACGCAGCCGGGCAGCAGCAGAGAAGGCTGGCTGGCACCGGGGGTATCTAAACTCTAAAGGGAGACGCGTAGCCAGCGAGAGGCACCGAAGCAGAAACACACACCTACCCCACCGAGGGCTGTGGCTACGGAGTGGTCCCCAGAACCTCCGGAGAAAATCATGAAGCTTAGGCAGGGGGGATGGAAACACCAGAAACACCGCCATGCCCGGCCTTCCCTTCCTTGGGCTCCGGTCTTCTGTCCCCGTTCAAAACCAAGGCTTGGAAGCACGGGGGAAGGATCGGCCACAAAGAACGCTGGGAAACCGCTTCTTCATTGCCCGGTTTCCGGAAAAAACGGAACTACACTTCCCATCAGCCCCGGTAACGCGGGAGTCTTTCCTTCGGGGCTTCCGCGGACGCCAAGTGGAGGGAAAACTACCAACCCCGGCATGCATAGCGTGACATCTTATATTCAGACCCTTTGCGGAAATTTTGTGCTACAACTTCCACCAGCGACGCCAATAGCGTGTACCAAGGCTTTGTACTTGAAAAAACTGGGAAGTCCAAATGGCCCTCAGATGTACCGGAAGATTCTAAGCATGCGAAACACCCGAGGGCTTTCCTAATGACATCCCAAAGGGTTAGAGCGGAACAATTCTGCCGTACCGGAAGTCCGGCCTCTCCTTCCCTCCCGGCGGGTAGTAAGATCTGCGCCTGCGCCGCGTCAGAACCAATAGCCGACTGTGAAGAGGCAGTGAGCGGAACAAGTCAAAATGGCGGAGCGGGGCTACAGCTTCTCTCTCACTACATTCAGGTAGGAGATGCTCTTCTAAGGAGTGGCCTGCGAAGAAGGCACGCGCTTGAAGAGGAGATCTAGAGTCAGTAGGTTTCTCTGGTCCCCTTCACGGATTGCTGCCTGGTAGGAGCGCCGGGCTTATTCTGCTCCGCTGGCAAAGGAGAGTCAATATTTTGTGGAGTCACTGCCGTTCCTTTTCCTTCGTGTGCCAGTTTGAAGAGGCCCATGAGGAAATTGCCAGTGATTTATTGGACTCTTACATTGCAGTCCTCTACACATCTCTCGAGAAATAAGCCCTTCCAAATTCATTGGGAAAGCTGCTCAATAAAGTTCTTAGGCTTTCATCGTTACTATGTTTCACAATGAGGGTGCATTAATAATCTTTATGCAAGTCTTGTTTTAACAGTAATTGTTAAAATGTCTGTATGACATATTTCAACAAGTTTTTCTCCTCTCATTTTAATAAAATACAGGAGTATAATAGTATTCCAGTGATTTTGGATTTATTTTCATGGATCAGCATTGCTATGTGAAGTACAGTTGCATAATGAATCATTTGCATTTTTTTCAATATTCTGTAGATTAGTGAAATCTGTCAATTTCTTAATGTTTATGATTGGTTTAAGTCAGTTTATGCTTCTAGAAAGCAAACCGAGCAATTACGTTCTTAAATAAAAAGTAAGGCAGTATTCACCAGTGATTTAGCTTGCTCAGGTAGGTTGTCAGTTGCTTCCATGGTGTGTAGAGCAAGTTGCTAATCATTTTGCAACAGCCTTTGGTTAGGCTAACATTCTTGATATTTCTTTAGGTCCCAGCCTTTAATAATAGGTAACAGTAAGCTGCTGCTTTGGGTGCCTTGTTGAGAGATATGTGGTGTATAAGTAAAACTAATAAAATAAATAAACAAGTTTTTATGAAGCACTCATATGGACCTTTTAAGTTATTGGCTTTATAAATTGACAGCTATGCAAATTTTCACTCCCTTGTATGTTAGAATTTTGTGAAAATGTTAATGTTTCCTTGAAAGTAGATTTGAATAACTTTGTAGGATTTAGAGTTAATCCTAAATTGGTTTCCATAGGATTGCAGCTTCTGAGTGTGTAGATTATTGGAAACAAGTTACACTGTGTTCATTTATGTATTGGATTTCTATCCCGCCCCACTAGACCAAAGGTGTTTGTGATTACAGATTTAGTAAAGTATAAAACTCTTGAACACAAAAGTGAAAGAAAAATACTTAAGTGTGCTTGTAGTTTCACTTTGATAATACCAGTTACTAATTCCATTCTCTGGACATAAGCTCGTGACATTATGAAAAATGCAAGGCAAGCCTATGCTTGTTTATTCTAAAGAGAATTCACCTGAATTCTCTGGAACAGTCTCTCAAGAAAATATGTAGAAGCTTGTTTCTTTAGCAGTTATTTTGATAAAAATATGTTGGACTCCTATATTTTTGTGTTCATCATTATATTCTCTAAACTATGTCAGAAAGAAAGAATTGAATAGCTTTGTAAGCTTTGTTCAAAGTTGAAAATGTTTTTTCACAAAGTTATGTCATGAGTGACCTAAGTGCTTTTTTTCAGCCCTTCTGGAAAGCTTGTTCAGATTGAATATGCTTTGGCAGCTGTTGCAGCAGGAGCACCTTCAGTTGGAATTAAAGGTATGGTGCTTAAATTTGGGCTTGAATCATATTGGTGTTTATCTAAGGTTGTGTCATTTGTTATGAGTAATTGACACAGTGCTGTGTCTCAAATGTGCGATCACATCTGCCTCTTAACTGATATATGCTCTGGCACTTTGTCAGTTAATTGGAGGTAACCAGTTATGCAAACCTGACACAGACATCCATAGGATCATGGCCACTACTTTGTAACCTGAAAAGACAGGACATGCCAGATCTGCCAGAATATGATGATGAAAACGGTCTGAAGTTATCACTTAAAGTTGTATCTGAAGGGGTAGGCAGCCCTTTGCAGTCCATGAAAGCATTTGCTGTGTCATGCTTCGGGGGTATGTATGGTGGCAGCAGCAATTTACATATTTTCCTAGTCTTGTTAATTAGTTTTACCTATATTTGTTGTTCTGTTTTTTTACTTTGCATTCCATTGCTTATTCTTAGTTTATTTATCGTCACCATCATCCTCGCACATTCTGCAAGAAGATCAAATGAGCTGATCCAAGTATATGTTGTTGGCTCTGCACTTAAGTAGATAGATAGCTTGGCCATGTTGTGGATGGAGCTCCATATATGCCAGTCACAAACCATAAAATAACATAAACTTTTTAACATGTAAACTGTTTCCTGCTTATGGGAGAGGAAAGTCCCACAATGCATGAGCATTGGCTACATAGAACTCAGTTACTTTAGGAAGGGAAGTAGCTGTGATGTTGTTACACCTAAGGGAAAAACTGAAGTAGTCTCACCTACACAAATAGCAAATATTACATAGGATATATATAGTAAATCATGAAAGATAAGCAAGTATGGTAAATGCATGAAAGATAAGCAAGTAAGTAAATTATCTTGTCTCTTTTAAGAGCAGTGAACGTTTGAAAGATTAGAAGGGAAAGAAAAGTGCAAGCTTCAATAATTAAAATGTTTTCTTTTTTTATCCAGCTGCAAATGGTGTGGTATTGGCAACGGAGAAAAAACAGAAGTCCATTCTGTATGATGAACGAAGTGTACACAAAGTGGAGCCCATCACCAAACATATAGGCTTGGTATATAGTGGCATGGGCCCTGATTACAGGTATCTGAAAAATATAGTTTGTAAATTGGTGTGATTCACTTTTACTCTTCTGTAGACAGCATCAGACCTACCCTGTTTCCCCAGAAATAAGACCTAACCTGAAAATAAGCCCTAGTATGATTTTTCAGGATTCTCGTAATATAAGACCTACCCCCCAAATAAGCCCTAGTTAAATGAAACCCCACCCTCCACCATTGTGCAGCAACCAGTAGAAGAGGACATGACTGTATTTGAATGAATGTACATGGTTGTACATGAAAAAAATAAAACATTCCCTGAAAATAAGCCCTAATGTGTTTTTTGGAGCAAAATTTAATATAAGACTGTCTTATTTTGGGGAAAACATGGTATAGTGCACGTCAGCATCCTAGTCTCTGAGGAATCTTAGATGTTTGCAAGCATTTCATTTCTCATATATTGAACTTAGGCAAAAGTTCTTTAGCATGCACCAAGGTACTGTTTTTTATTATACTACCCAGAATCTTCTAACCCAGTGGTTCTTAACCTTGGGTAACCAAGGTGTTCTTAGACTGCAATTCCCAGAAGCCTTCTCCACCAGCTGTGCTGGTTGGGGCTTCTGGGAATTGCAGTCCAAGAACACCTGGGTTACCCAAGGTTAAGAACCACAGTTCTAACCAACTTGGCTATGACCTTGGGATTTTCAGAGTTCTCCAAAATAAACCATTTTCTATCTCTTTTCCAATTCCCCTTAATATTAAAGGCAGGGTGTATTTGATTTAAATCAAGTTGATTTAAATCACTAGTCAGTAAAATTTGATTTAAATCATGATTTTTAAATGTAAAGACTCATTGTTGCTGGCAGATATAATTTTTAATATTTATAACCAGATGAAGATTTTATATTGAGAATAATAACTGCCAGATTAGTAAAACAGTTATATCAGAACTGATTTTAATAGGTTAATCACTTGTATTTGGAGAACTACTTAAATTGTTTTAACTAAAACAATAACATTATATAGCTTACATATTTTTGTTTTTGTATTAATAAATATCAATATTTATTAACTGAAGTGGTTAAACAAAATATATTTAAAGAAACCCAAAAAAATTCAAGCTGTGTGCACAAAGATTTTTATTGCTTGCCAATCCCTCCTCACACTTAGAGCCTGGTCCTGATATATTTCACTCCAAACAAACTTCAAATATAGCATTTAAGATAATGTGTTCATTGTTTGTGCATAGATTAACAGAACAACAATGGAATGAAGGTATTTTCCTGAATTTCATTTATTTTGTACCATTTTGACTTTGAAAAAGTACATGTTATTTCAGCATGGATAACTCGGATTAATTGAATTGGTTTACCAAAAATGTAAATATTACATGAATATACAGGCTCATTCTATATAACTAAACTGTTTCATGCTACATAACCTTTGAACTACAATGTTTCTAAAATAGAAAACTATCATTAGATAGATTTTTTCTCCAAAAAATTTGATTAAAATAAAAAATCGTGATTTAAATTAATTTTTTAAAAAGAAAATCATCAATTTTAATCCATACTTATTAAAGGGCTTTTCCATGTAGCTTGCCTCATTATCTCGATTAATAGGCTAGTGGCTGTCTTTGATGCTATTTCAAAAAGAACCAGCCATTCAGTTATACAGTATATTAAAGACCCTAGAGTTGTTGCTTACCATTAATATATGTCCACTTCATAAAGATGAAAGGTATCGGTGTGTGGCAGGGTGGAGGATTGTGAGACACAAAGTACATCAACACTGTATTTGTAGAGGTTTGTATTCTATGTGCAGGTTGCAGGCTTCCCAGAGATACTGGGCTGGACTGTTTGGAAAAAGGATGCTGGACTTGATTGCCTGTTTCTGATACAACAGAATGGATGTGTTGCCTGCACTGTATATGAAATCCATAGTTTTGACAGTGAATATTAGCAAATGTTTTACAGTGTTTGTGATAAAAATATGATTGATGTTTTGGGAGTGTCTTTTCATATGTCCTAGCACAATATCTTAAGGAATGCTTTTTATTAATTGGCACTGAAGAATCCTCCAATTTAAATATTCCAAGTTGCTTAATTATAAATGATTTTATTTATTTATTTATTTAATTTATACCCCGCCTGTCTGGCCCACCGGACCACTCTAGGCGGCTTCCAAATATAAAATCAAATAATAAAACATAGACAAATACATAATAATCAAACAAGAACAGCAGTAAAGATAAAAAGGAAAAGTAAGAAAAAATCAAGAGTTGGCTGGAGGGAAGGCCTGAATAAACAGCCATGTTTTTAATTGGGATTTTCTTATTTAAGGTTTGTTTCCCCTCTCCTTTTTTTGGTCAGAGTTCTTGTCCACAGAGCACGTAAACTGGCCCAGCAGTACTACTTGGTTTATCGTGAGCCCATTCCAACCGCTCAACTGGTGCAGAGGATTGCTTCTGTGATGCAAGAATATACACAATCTGGGTATGCTACATTTTCTGAATTCTACTACTTTCACATTCATGTCTGTCTGGTTCCTTGCATTCTGTCCATCTCAGGATGGCTGTAGGTAGTCTTTTTGATGACTATACCAGATGTTTATTCCCCGGTTTTTAAATATTGCCACTTCATGGTAATGTGCCAGCTGTAAGTGACTTAATCTGTATAAATACATTAGGACTTCTGTATCTGTAGGATCAGTATCCACAGAAAGAAAATATTAAATGGAAAACCCTAGAAATATATATTTCCATTATATAATCACAACTGGCCACTAGAGGGAACTGGAGACTATGGTACATATAGAGCTTACTATTGTCTGTGTTCTTGGCATCTGTGCAGGGCGGAGCTTGCAACTGAGTCCCTGCAGGTACCACAGTCCTGCTCTAGTGACTATAGGCCAATGTAGCTATTCCACATGCCCTTCTTACCATGCCTCAATGAGGTCTTTGTCTCTTGTCTGCTGACCCTTGGAGACTGTGTGTGTAGGGGAAAAGCTGGACTTCTGCATAGTATAGTGCTGTCTCTTTACTGTAGCTAAGGTAGCTTTTTTGCATCTGTTGTTATTTTGTTTACTGTTTAAGAGTCTAGTTCACTTGAATCTAGGAAGTTATTTCTGCAAAATGGAACTAATATAGGAAATACTGTTACATGTCTGAAGGCCAGCTTTGTTCCTTGTTCATAATAATGACTAGTATTCAGTTATTTGGGCTAAGATTTTTATTGCTAGTCACAATATCTTGAATAGAAAAGAATTGTCAATTTTTCTTTGAGATGCTTGGCTTTCGGAAATTAAGTGATAATTACATCAAGTTAATTCTGACTTATGGTGACATTTTCTAGGGTTTTATATGTACATTCAGAAGTGGTTCACCATTCCTTTTTTCTGGGGTAATCCAGGACTGTGTAGTTTGCCCCAAACCCCGTAGATGCAGTAGATAATCAGAACTCTACTATGTGAACCCTAAATTATTTGAATTAGCCCTTGTGTAACTTACAGGTTATAAAAAGAAGGAACATGCCTGTAATAAGGTAGGTGAGTCAGATGTATCCCTAACAGAGTCTTAAGGATCTCCCAGATGGCTGTAGAGGTTAATAATCATTTGAAAATATTTTTCCTGATAGGGGTGTACGTCCATTTGGAGTATCGTTGCTAATATGTGGGTGGAATGAGGGGCGTCCATATTTATTCCAGTCTGATCCATCTGTAAGTATTAATAACAGGATGTTTTGATAACATTAACTAGAAACATTGCATAATTCCCTATTAGAAAATTTCTTAGCTGTTCCTTTCTTCCTTTTATGTAAATGAATTGTTTGTAATAAGCATAGATGAGATAGTGAGGAATGGTAAGATTCATCTGGGACGAAATAAGATTACTAGGATATTGTGGCTGGTCAAATTTAAAATCATAAGTGGATAGGAGAAGACTCACTACATTAAGCAAGGTTTATGTTTGGTTTAATAGCCTGTTTCTAACATGGAAGCCCATTAGGTAATAATCACTAGAGATGGGGGCAAACCTGGTTTGGCAATTTGTGCCAGTTTGTTTAGTGGCTGAACATGTATTCAGCACTTCAAAGCCCCACCTCCTCTGGCGGGTGACCAATCAGGCAGCATGAGGAGGAAGTTGGGTAAAGTAGTGGGCCGCTGCCTCTGAGGACACCTGCTTTACAAGGCAGGGCTTTGAAGCGCCAGACACCTGTTTTGGCCGCTAAACGAACTGGCCCATCTCTAAAATCACTTATAATTACAATAAAGGAGTTACAATGAAAAATCTATGTTGCCCTCTTTTACTGAAATAATTAATATTTGCTGCAGGTGTTGCTTCTGAACTTGAAGGTTCTGTTTGGCTATCTGGGCTACTAGCTGCTGTTTGGCCTACCCTCTGTGATTTATATTTCCCTTTTAAAGCAGTGGTGCTAATCACATTATGTTGCAGTGCTTTCTATAGGTACATGTTTCCCAAACAAAAATTATTTTGTCTGTCTTGCACATACTGCCAGTCAAGGTTAGTGAATTTCTAGAACACCACTTTGCTGTCTCCATGTTTTTCAAAGCTTTGTAACCTGTATATGTGTACCCTGCTTTTCTTTCCCAGTAGAAAGTAAAACTTATTTTCATTCTTGTTACTGTTAGATATGTTATAAAGCCACTACTGTTCCTCACTTTTATGAACTCATCAAAAGTTTTAGAATTTAAGATAATGCTGATCCATCTTCCATGTACTAGGCAAAATCATATTAGTGTAGTTACACTAGCATAAACGAAATCTGGGTGTCAAATAATTAATTTAAGCAAATCAAATGCTTCCTATCCTCCCTCCTCCCTGATTCAGCTTTGGGGGCTTCCCTTTGCCCTGGGGAAGCCTTTGGCAGCCTCAAGATGAAGTGGGAGGGAGCCTTTATTAGTAAAACAATCACTGCCAGTGGTCCCAAACCTGGCAATAGTGATCCAGCAGCATTCTGCACCATTTGAAGGTTCTGCATCAGTCTCAAAGGTAGCCCCACGTAGAGCACATTGGTCTAATCTCGAGATTACAAGCACATGGACCAAAGTGGTGAGCGCCCCAACATCAAGATAGGGACGCAGCTGGGCAATCCGCCAAAGGTGGAAATAGGCGGTATGGACCTCTGACGCCACCTTCCACTCCATATCAGAGAGAAAAGAAACCCAAAGAAAACCCCAAATTAATACAATTAAATAATATAGTGATAACAACATTTAACATAAAATAACAAAAAAGAGTAACAATGTACTATTAAACTAAACAACTTTTAAATATTAAAATACATATGTTTCAAAAAGGGGTGAATAAGAAAAATAGTAAAGTACAATAAAGTACAATAAAATAAAATAACAGAAAATAAAAATAAAACAAATAATATAAATAAACAGTATAAAGAAATTGAACCCAGAATTTTTACCCTCCACATATAGTCCTGTTCTGTTTTACTCTGTCTGGAGGTCTTGTCTTTCCAGATGTTATTAGAACAGTATATCATATAATATTTTTCTTTTATCCAGGGGGCTTACTTTGCATGGAAAGCAACTGCAATGGGAAAAAACTATGTGAATGGAAAGACATTCCTTGAAAAGAGGTAATGTTAAGAATCTTTTATACTGTCTCTGATTTGCCTTGTGTGAAAATTCTTTTTCTCCACAGCTTAACATAGAAAAAATTGGAATCCTACCTTGCTCACGTCTGTTGATTATTATGAACTGGTTGTTGCTTTATACCTCAGCTTGGCACATTCTCACAAGGTGTGAGTGACAAACTTCCTTTAGTTGTGGTGTTTGTAGAACCAGTTGCAGCCACATATTAGGCTTGATGTTCTAGGCAGATCTTTAAAAAATCAGCTGATTTCCTTCATATAAAAGGATGTAATTGGCTCTTGCCTTTCCATTGGACTATTTCAGTGATGTGGAGAGGAGGGATTTGCTGCTTGGGTAACAGCCTATCCTACATATTATTTTACCCAGGCTTCGTGCTCTGGAGAGGACACTCCAGCTTCACATACAGCGTTGAAGTCCTCCATACAGAGCACATTACTATAGTCTCTCGAGACTGAAGGATGCGTATGAGGAGCATGATGAGGAATTGAAGAGTAGGTGACAGTCCCTCCCACTGCTGCTCCAGTGTGATTGCTTTTGCTACAGTATACACTTCATGTCTTTCTGTTGATAGAAATCATACCACACCGGTATTTATATTTGACACAAGAGAGCAATTTCTACACTTAAACAGCTAATTTTGGGTAACATTGATTACCTAGTCATCACAGGTCTTAACATGTTCTGGAGACATCTCTTCTGGAATTTAAGAATGTCCAGAATTTCTGTGTTCAGAAGTGGTGTAAATCTTTTAAATGGTACATCCAACTCTTGCTAAGTCTCAAATTGCTTTTGTGTTTTGAAGGAATTTGCCATGTAGTATCAGGAGTTCTTTGCAAAACCAAATACATTAGGGATGCTTAGTTTTGCACTTCTGTGAATTTTGCGTATTGCTTTAAATGTTTTCTGCAACATCTTAAGTATATTTTTAAAACTTTCAAATCTTTCTTCAGATACAATGAAGATTTAGAACTTGAAGATGCAATCCACACTGCTATCTTGACATTAAAGGTGAGAAATACTCTCAGTGGGCTTACTCTAGTAATGACTTTAGCATAGCAAGTCACATTTGAATCAATAGAACTTATGGAGGAGTTGATTTCCTAAATCCCCAATGATTCCACATGGCCACCCTAGTGCAAGTTATGACACTCAGCAACAGGATTTCAGCTAATGGATGTGTTTTAGTAGAGACTAGCAACTAAATTTAGGACACAGTATGTAAAATACATGTTAAGAAATTATTTTTTCTTTCTAGGAAAGCTTTGAAGGACAGATGACAGAAGACAATATAGAGGTTGGCATCTGTAATGAAGCAGGATTTAGAAGACTTACTCCAACTGAGGTTAAGGATTACCTGGCTGCAATTGCATAGTGTATGTTAAAGAAAACCAGCTGGATACATCTGATGGTCTCTCCTTTTTTGTGTCTGTGTCAGCCATTGAAATCTATGGCTTCTGCACTCTGTTTATCTGCTAGATTTTTTTAAAAAAACATGATGGATTCATATGCTTCTGTCCCAATGCTGAAAGGTTGAGTTATTGTTCTTAAAAGAACAAACACTGTACAATAAGACTTCATACAATCTAAAAATAAACCAAACAATTGGTAGTATAGTTTTCAAATCTCCAAAGACTTATGGGGGTGGTGGTGTTGTGGAGCTTTACTAGATGGGTATAGTTTCTGTTAAAACCTTTCTAAATATGTGATTAGTAATCTCTCATGTTATGTATGGCTCTAGAAGAATTATGTTAGAGAAAGCAGTCTACACAAAAATGACACGCATTATTATAGAGCTAGTGTTAGAGTTGCCATCTGTCAGAGAGGACAGTGATCCAAGTACCATCAGAAGCTTGCGTTCCATTAGGATGTGTGTTTGAGAACTCATATGTGCATCCATTAAATCAGGTGGAAACCTGATGGACTATGTGTTGCCCTTCTTCACTTCACTGTATGTGGAGTCAGCTGCATGCGTCCCGTGTGCCTCTAGCTGCAAGTTCCTTTAATAAGGATTGGACATTCATATTTAAAGACTTTCATAGGTCAGTAAGAAGCTTCCAGGTTGAATAATGGTAGTGAAAGCCCTCAAATTGGCAGGAGGTGGAGCAGCCCCTTAAAATTCCCACACTGCTTCTCTGTTGAGTGGAAAGAAAAGAAGGCCACTGCAGTGGGAGTCATAAGGCTTCCTTGCAGCTTGTGGGAGTTGTATAGGTGTCCCATCCCTACTTGCTAGCCTGTTATGCAGGGAAATGGAGCACATAATAGGGAAGATGCTGTGTATCATGTGTTTGTGGGAGAGGTGGCAGCATGTGATGAGCTGAGGTTGGGGCCAGGTAGCTTAAAGAAGGCTGCTTCCTTCCTGGTGGAACTGAAAGTGTGAGGAAAGACTTTCACCCTAGGAAATTTTGGCATCTGAAGGCTTTTTCAGAATCGGGGCTGGGCAATACCTTTAGCAGATGAGTAAAATACAGGCAGGCTTTCAGGTCCAGCAAGACTCTTCTGCAGTTTGGACACTGCAAGGCCTGTGAGGGTGAGTGGATTCAAAGAGAAGGAAAAATTCCACTGCAAATCTAGTCAAACTTAATGAGTGATAGAAATGTTTCTAGAGGAGAATGTGTGCAAAGTCATGCCCTTTTCAAATAGGATGTATACAAAATCTAGGATGGCAGAAGAATCTTGCAATCATTTAGTAAGAATCACCACAGATGAATTTTGAGAAACACATTCATAGTGTATTTTGATGGAATGGAAAATATCTGCTTGTAAGTGATTGGGCTTCACATTCCATCATCTCTTCCATACTGTGTGGATGAAGTGCAGCTTTTTATCATCTGAAAAGCCACAACTTCTCAGCCTCTACAGGACAGAGAAGTGCAGTACTGCATAAAATTCTACAAAATGCTGTTTGTCCCTAGTGACTGTCCCAGTGGACAAACGGAAACAAATCCCAGAGCTTTCAGTGAGATGTACTTCTAGATCTGCTCTGCTACAGCACTGTTCAGGAAATCACAGCAAGGGAACTCCTCTGGTATGTGCAAAATCTTGACCCAGAATGAGTTCAGCTGGTAATGACTCGCATTAGGAATAGGGAACTAAGTGGCTTTCCAGATGTTACTCATTATCCCTCACCATTGGCTAGGGCTGATAGATACTGCAGTCCAATTCTGCACCCAGAGGTGATCATAGTATCTGGCCTCCCACTAGCATCTCACCTGACCAATTTGTAGCCTTTGTAAAATCAAAAGTGGAGGCCATCCGCCAGGATCTTACCCCCTATTTGAAAACAGTAGATCGAGCAGAGATGTCCAGCGCTTCCGTCTTGCCCGATGAGACTTAACCACTTTCAGCCTGTGACGTCAGACATGGTGGACAGAGTGCTTGACTGCTGTCGTGCCACCACCTCATCCCTTGCCCAGCCTGGCTAATCAAAGCAGCCAGGCCTATAACATCTGAATGGGATACGGCAATAATTAATGGGTCTTTGAAGGAGACACTAATTAGGCCCATTAGGAAGAAACTAAGCTTGGCGGCAGACAATATTGATAATTATAGGCCCGCCACCAATGTTTCTTTCCTCAGTAAGGTAGTTGAGAGGGTGGTGGCTGATCAGCTACTGGCTCTTCTGAATGAAACCAATGCCCTGGATCCGTTCCAGTTGGGCTTCAGGCCAGGCCACCGCACGGAAACGGCATTGGTCGCCCTGTTTGATGACCTACTGAGGGAGGCTGAGAGGGACAAAATGTCTCTGCTGGTCCTCCTTGATCTCAGCTGCCTTTGATACCGTCAACCACCATACCATCTCCAGGGGAGGCCGAGTTGGGAATTGGTGGCCTGGCTCTTGCCTGGCTCCGTTCTTTCTTGGAGGACTGTCCCTAGAGAGTGCAGATTGGAGAGAGTTTCTCAGATCCATGGAGCCTCAATTGTGGGGCTCCATGGCTCGATTCTCTCTCCAATGCTTTTTAACATAGAGACCACTGGGAGGGGTCATCAGAGGATGTGGGGCTTCGTGTCATCAGTACACTGATACTCAGCTCTACATCTTTTTTTCCCAACAACAGTGGATGCTGTTTCATCCCTTCAGCGCTGCCTGGGGGCTGTTCAGCAATGGATGCAGGTGAAGGGATTGAGGCTGAATCCGAGCAAGACGGAGGTCCTTCTGATGGGTGTCCCAGACATCAGTGGTCTGGGAAACTCCCTCTCCTTGGGTGTGTGTGTGTGTGTCTTACCACCAAGAGAGAGATTTGCAGCTTGGGTGTACCTCTGGACCCGGTGCTCACCATGGAGACCCAGGTGTCATCAGTGGTCTGTACCATCACATTTCCCCCACTCTGGCCGCCTTGCATTGGCTGCTCATTTGTTTCCACATTGATTTCAAGGTTGTTACAATTACATATAAAGCCCTAAACAGTTTAGGACCTTGATACTTAGCAAAGCACCTTCTCCCACCCAGTTCTGCCAGTTACTCGTTCCAGCCAGGCCGGGTGGCTGAGGGGCCTAACGCCAAAGGAGATCTAGAAGGAAAGAATGAGGAACCAGGTCTTCTTGGCAGTGGCCCCTTGCCTTTGTAACAGCTTGCCAGTGGAGATCCGCCTGGCTCCCTCTCCGGGTGTTTTCAGGAACAAACTTAAAACCTGGCTATTTGGACAGGCTTTCCTCCTGCCATATCTTAATTTCTTATACTTTCACCACCTTGGATTTCTTATACTTTCGCCACCTTGCTTATTGGTTTTATTCGTTTTAAATTTGTCATCTGCCCAGAGTAGACCTTTGGTTTAGATAGGTGGGACAGAAATCCAATAAATAAATAATATTTTTAGAGTTAAAATGTGATGACTATACAGTCTGGCAACAGTTCATGAATCTAACTGAAATGATCATGTTTGGAAGAAGATACATATCTGTACAAATGAATAGTTCTTGACAGGTTATTTGATGTAACAACAAAAGCTATTAATGTTGTCCCTGATATTATAATGGGAATATTTGAACCATAGAAAAAACTCGAGTTGAAAAGCAATTCATAATTTTTGGGGCATCTTTTCCTTGTCTTGGAAATTTTGGCCAGCTGGTGGCGCTGCAGCATCCTCAGAAGTAGGATAAAATTCTACCATAGGAAAATAAGAAAGGTACTGTAGGTTCGTTTGGCCAATTGAGGAACTTTGGCTAAAATCAACACTGTTTTCTAGATTAAATGCAGGGTCCAGAACGCAGTGTAGGAATCATCCTCAGTTGCCGTGCAAATACATAGTCAAGGCAGAGAGAGCTAAATGCTGCTTTTCCTCCAGAAACGAACAGTAGGTTTTGACTACTTCAGTGTTCTGTCGGTTGCCTTTCCACAGTCATCAGCCTCACCACCACCATTTTGTATTTTTTATTATTAAACAACTAGAGTTTTATCCCAATGGAGATCAAAATAGCTATTCCACGTAAAGGACTATCAAAAACCCGCCGCAAAAGAGAGACGTTTCCCGTCCTGCGGCTTACTTGCAGCAACCAGTCTTGCTCCGCAGGTGGAAAAGAGTCTAAAGGGAACCGGAAGTGGGGGATGCCGACCAGGCCGCTTCATTTCCCCCCTCCCTCCCTCAAACAATCCCTTTGCCCGGACGGGGGAAGCTGCCGCCGCGTCCTTCTCCGTTGCGTCCAAGAGAGCCGGCTGGCGCGCGGGGGGTGGGCACGCGGTGTGGTCAGAAAACGCCCCGCCCGAACTGTAAGGAGAGCGTCTGCGCGGGGAAGGGGGTGGGGGTTAGAGGCGCCTCGGTCGCGGCTCTCCTGGCCTGGGCGGGGTGGGGGCTGGCTGGTGTGGAGGAGGAAAGGAGCGGCCCTGTCCCCGAATGCCTGTCGCCATGAAGGGGTGGTGGATGGATGCGTGGGGTGAGGTCCCGTGTCCGATTCGGCGAGTGGGAGGGGAAAGGGGGCAGACGCCTCTGTTTCGCCCCAACCTACTCCTTAAGCGGAGGTGGGGGTGGCGGTGGGGCCGAAAGGCAAGGGCCAGGCCGGTTCCAGCTGGCGCGCCCGTTTCCCGGGGACT